GTAAATCTAATATTTCATCATTTTCTGCTTTGACACATTAAAGGGGTCATGAACTGTCTTTTTTTATTATTTTGTACTGTTCTCTGAGGTCCACTTATAATGTTATCAAGATTTTTAGATTTTAAAAAAATCATAATTTAGAAGTAATAGGCTATTTTCTGTCCTGTTTTGACCCCCTCATCTGAACACTCTGTTTGAATAGCCGGATTGTAGACACGGAAGTAAACACCACTGGTATGATTGGCTAACAGTTGTGTATGTTTGTCAGGCTACATGCTGTGATTTAGGTTAAAAATGCATAAATACTCAGTGCATATCAAACAGTGCATATCTGTAATAATAGACAAAGCAATAGTGACCGCGTAACAAAAACAGTTATTTACACTTGTGTGATGCGACATTACTGTCGGATCCAATATAATCGGTACAGAATCGTCTTTTAATTTCGATCTTTCTGAAAATTGTGCCTTGTTTATAAACATATATGCGGTAAAATGAAGTGAACAAAGGACCAGGTTCTTACTGACGTGGTCTGGAACTTCATTAAAAATAAAGTTCATCAACTTTTTTCCTAGTGGGAAGTCGTGGCCTAATGGTTAGAGTCGGACTCGTAACCCAAAGGTTGCGGGTTCGAGTCTCAGGTCCGGCAGAGATTGTAGGTGGGGGGAGTGAATGTACAGCGCTCTCTTCCACTTTCAATACCACGACTGAGGTGCCCTTGAGCAAGGCACCGAACCCTCAACTGCTCCCCGGGCGCCGCAGCATAAATGGCTGCCCACTGCTCCGGGTGTGTGTTCACGGTGTGTGTGTGTTCACTGCTGTGTGTGTGCACTTAGGATGGGTTAAATGCAGAGCACTAATTCCTAGTATGGGTAACCATACTTGGCCACATGTCACGTCACTATCACTATTGTAGGGATTAGAAGGAAGGCAATGAAGACTGTTTTTCCACATCTTGGCACTGCACAATGTCTTCGGAGCCATCTTTATAGTTTAGTTTTTGCATAGACATGCGCGAATCTGTGGGAGGAGCTAAACAGGCAGTGATGTAGAAGCAGGGGTTGATCTTTTGTGGAGGCGGTGTTTAGCCACACTATTACATCATAAAGTGGCACATTCCATAAACTGTTGTTCTGGCAGAATGACTTCAATATAAGCTGTTTTTAGACTCTGAAACTTACAGTATGTTTTTATAGTACAATGACCTCTTATATGTCAAAAGATCAAGGGAATTTTGATTTCTCAATTCATGACCCCTTTAATAACTATATCATTCATCACTTACAGTGGGTACGGAAAGTATTCAGACCCCCTTAAATTTTTCACTCTTTGTTATATTGCAGCCATTTGCTAAAATCATTTAAGTTAATTTTTTTTCCTCATTAATGTACACACAGCACCCCATATTGACAGAAAAACACAGAATTGTTGACATTTTTGCAGATTTATTAAAAAAAAAAAACTGAAATATCACATGGTCCTAAATATTCAGACCCTTTGCTGTGACACTCACATATTTAACTCAGGTGCTGTCCATTTCCTCTGATCATCCTTGAGATGGTTCTACACCTTCATTTGAGTCCAGCTATGTTTGATTATACTGATTGGACTTGATCAGGAAAGCCACACACCTGTCTATATAAGACCTTACAGCTCACAGTGCATGTCAGAGCAAATGAGAATCATGAGGTCAAAGGAACTGCCTGAAGAGCTACATTGAGGAAAAAAAATTAACTTAAATGATTTTAGCAAATGGCTGCAATATAACAAAGAGTGAAAAATTTAAGGGGGTCTGAATACTTTCCGTACCCACTGTACCTCTGAACAGCTTTCTTTACTTGACTAATACTGTGCATTTGCAACAACTAATGAATGTAACCAGTTTTACTGGTATATGATAGTACAATAGGAATGTTATCATATACTTGTCCAAGACTCTTAATTTAATGCTACCTAAAATTAAAAGTGTTCTAGAATCGGAAACCCAGAAGCATATTCTAATGCATCACAACGTCCTGTTCATCTATGTTTTTCATTATGTCTAAATGTAGTGAGAAACCCTATATTAAAGAACAAAAGCATAAGTATCAATTTAAAATGTCAGCCAAACCAATTATAGGTTTACCTCTAGCAACAACACAACTTCACAATCTTTTTTTTATGTCCTTTCAGCCATGCAATGGGTATCTAACACTTGCCAAAGCGGATGTCACAGAGCCAATCTTAGCCAGTTTGAGACACATGGGAATGGATTCACAAGACGTCAGTAGGGTGGGGACAGTCAGGCCCATGAAACTGACTTTGGTGGACAAGATACAGATGCAGATACAGGAAATGACGGCATGCATCACTTTGATCCTCCATCTTCTTAAAAACACAGTGTCAACTGGTGAAAAGCTTGGTTTTTGTATTTCGGAATCAAATTCATTTCAACACAATCAGTTTAAACAATTGCCTGATGCACCCTTCCTAAAAGCTCAAGTAATCTTATGAAAGATTATGAAATGCTATCTTTTAAACATGTTATCTTGTATCTTTTTAATTACCATATAAAAAGCAATGTTTCATTTACATTTAATCATTTAGTAGGCGCTTTATCCAAAGTGAATTACAAATGAGCAACATTGCAAGAAATTTATCCTAAACAGAGGGAACTAAAGGAAGCAATCTGACTTCATAAAGACTATGCACACAAATTCTAAAATGAAAAGTTGTGCAAAACAGGAAGACGCCACACTGCAGATACCACATGCAAAACAATCCCTACTACAATCCCAGAAAACCAAGCTGAAAAATTATGCATGCAATAAATTACTAAGCTAGTTAAACACACTTGCTTATTTATTTAATGTATAACAATGCATTTTTTAGGTCTGCCCTGGATCTCCAAATAAGATCTGTAAACATACCGTAATCCCAAATGACTGTGATACATGTTTTCCTGTGATAACTTGCATACATGTTAGCATTCCAAACATACTTTTGTACGCATCCATCTACTGCTAAGCCAATATGCTTTCATGGAATAGTACACTGGAGAAAGCTATATTATGGATAGAGGACTCATCAGCTTTAAGTTAAAAACGTCTTAAAGATGAATTATGTTTTATTACAAACATGTAGTTTTTCGCTTCACCAGATGTTAATTGATGGACTGGAGTCATGTGGATTACTTGTGGATTATTGACTGTATTCACTGTATGGTCTGAGGGTGAGTATATTAGCAGCAAATTTTCATTTTTTGGTGAACTATTCCTTTAAAATCAGGAGATGTTCAGAAAGACTGACAATCAGTCCTTAAATGTCTGGTCTACTGATATTCTGCATAATTTGTGTCTCCAAAAATAAAGCACCCTTCAATGCCATTACACCACTGTGCATTCAACAGTAAACAGTAGCGTTTCAAAGGTAAAGTTACCTACTTATTTGGATTGTTAATTAATGGATTGTTTACACAAATGACTCCTTACATAATTCATTCTCAAGTGAGAAATGCAAAGCATTTTAGGTTTCTCAGCCCTAGTCACACTCACAGTCCAAAACAAAAAGTAAAAAATAAATATGCAACCACTTAGATCGCAAAACAGCTGCGTGCAGTATGTCACGGCATAACTAATAATAATTATATCATTATATATAATTATATATTTTTATGTATATATAAATTGAATATATTATATTAGCTAAATATTTAAAGAAACTATTTTCATTATATGTATGTTTTGCAATCTAATAACAATAAAAATAAAACATCAGTTCTGCACACTGGTTATTATGACAAAAATAATTCGTAGATTTATTTAATTTAATATTTATTTAATTAAATATTAGTAGATCTCTAGTTATACAATGTTCCAGTGAATAAAATGTGACAATAGAAGCAGGCTTGCAAATCGGCTGGAGGACAAGACGATTACATCATCATCTGCTCTTCAACACTCCTGCTGATTTTAAGAGTTTGTGGTCTTTAAGGGGGTACTCGGAGAGGTTCTGTCAATGCATTGTCCACTTCTTAGTAATCACCCTCTACACACCAAAACAAACCTAATCTAGGCTTTTATTATGTCACATCAGCAGGTGCCCCGGGGGCTCAATATCACGTCTTATGCATGAAGGGCCAAAGAATATTCTTAGCGCCTATGGGGTTTCCAGTAAATCAGCAGGGAAGACCCCCGACCTGATGCTTTACCCCCAACCCCCTTCATTCAATGCATTCATGCACTGCCCGCCTAAAAACACTAATTCCAAAGCATATGCATGCAAAACCAATGCGCGTTAAACACCCCATTTATCCAGCGATTGTTTGCTAGATGCATCTAAAACATGCTGAGCTAACATTTAAGCAAAAATAGCAATGCACATTCTCATGCACCCGAGTGACAACATGCATGACGCTTGCGTTATAAATATCTGAAAACATACACTGCAAATAAACGCACAACCACCAGTGCATTTCAGGTTACATCACTTATACAGCCAGTTTCTGTTGACCATCGATTGACATCCTAACAAACCATGTTTATTACATTCATCTACAACATCATCCAGGACTATTATGCAGCTGGTCTGATCTAATCTGACAGCTTTGCATGCAGCTCTCTGCTACAAACTGCAAGCACCGATTTTAGCCCGGTAGCCTCGTGCATGGTAAGAAACGTTTTAACGTAAAACAAAAAGGCCAGTGTTGAACAGCTACAGGGACTAAGCTAGAAGTGTCCACATTTTATTCATACTAGCCTATTTACTAGCTTTACTTCACCTCCAACATAGGCATAACCTGCCATTACCTAACTCAAAAATGCATTAGATAAGTCATAATAAAGCTCCCGTCGTGATTTAGCCGTTCCAGAGCCACTGAGACACAAAAACAGATAATATATGACAGATCAAGCGCACGTTTCTTTACTATAACAATCTCGCGTGCTGGGGGAATGGATCTCGCGGCACGGACAGACAGGAGACCTTGCGGCCTGTGCTCGTTCGCGGCTCCGCGGACTCACCTCAGTCGGTTGGCTGATCTCGAACAGGTCGAGCCGGTTGGCGTTCCAGTGGTTGATGATGTCGGCGAGTTTCCGCCGCTCCTCCTCTCGGCTCCCCGACATTCTCAAATCCCGACTAATTCTAGTCAAGCCGGAGAGAGAAACAATCCGCCTTTTTCCTCGCTGGTGCGGTTTTATCCACTCAAACGGGCTTCTTATCCGACGACCTGAAATAAAAGTAAATCTGTTACACCCAGATACTGGGCTTTCAAACGCGGTTTCTGCGGTGAGCGTCGCTCTTTCCCGCAGTCGCCGGCTAATGCACCTCAGCTCTATCGTCAACCGCTTGCACTGTTTCCGCGTTCCCGGCTCTTGTCTTATCGCGCTCCGTGCGCGCTCCCTGTGGCAAAGCGGTGGGACTGACTGGAGCTGTGCGCGCGCCCGCTATACTCCACACAAAATTCACGAGGGACGCTGACGGGAACGCGCACAGGAACAAACAATGAAAGAAACTTCTCGTGCCAGGCACTTGCTGCTCCATTCACAATACTTTCGTGTGTACGCGGATGTCGTTCGATAAAATTATATATTAAATTTTTTTCGAAATAGTTTGACGCGATAAAAGTAGAGATTTCTTCTTTTAATACCCAAGAGCTTGTGATATTCCCCCTCCAAAAAATCGAAAATTCCGTCAAATGTATTCAAGCTTATATAGTCTACATATAAAACATAATTTGTTTTGGAACATAAGCTTGAATAAATTTGACAGAATTTTCTTTTTTTTTGGGGGGGGGGGGGGGGGTACATGTATGTTTGTGTATTTATGTATACATAATAAATGTACACAGTACACACACACATATATTTTGTAAACAAAAACTTTTAATTTTGGATGCGATATATATATATAGCTGCTTAGTCAAACAACATCATGATAGACCTGACATGGCCAGCTGTGCACATCTGTAAAGCAATCAGCTCAGTGGTGTAGTGGAGGGTATACGCAGGTATACGGCGTATACCCACTTCTTTATCAGTCGGCTTTGTGTATACCCACTACTAAATCCCCTCTGATGCGCATCATTCATTAGTGTCCTGCATTAGGCAAAATCATGACAGTCCACCACATGAATAGCTAATCCAATCGCATGAAAAAAAAATACAAATATTCCCTAAAAACAATGATGCGGTCAGGACCGTGGCGCCGGCTTCCTTTGAAATATGTTTGATGATTGCGCCTGCGCCCCCGTCAGTCAGAGAGGATGCAGATTGCCAACAGTGACAGAGACACTGCTTCTTCATGCGCGAGAGCATGTCAGGGGATGCGCAGAGTGGTAAAATAATAGTTCATTATTGATTACTAATTTGAATCAGTACATTACAACGAAAACAATAGCTTAAAAACCGGTAAACTCCTGTAAACCTTTCAGTCAAAGGCTCCAGTAAACAAATGCGTTCAAACAGTAAATTCAAAACAGCTCTAATACAGAGAAAACCCAACCGATTTCATCAGAGATTGTGGAGAGTCGAGTCCAGATGTCAGTAAATTATTATTTTCAGCCTGTATGTGGTTTAAAAGCACGAGTGTTATACTGGTGACTGAAGGTGTTTTAGATTATGCGCTGGTTTAGTTATTCTGAATGGATCGTATGTACAGTAAGATCAAGACAGCAGGTTTAGTGGTCTTTTGGCGTCTCCCTGTGGTCCTATTTGATATCGCAGCTTGACTGGTGCTTATTTATATTAAAAAGGTGGTGGGGATGGGGGGATAAATTCTGGATAAATTGATTGTCACAATTTTAAAAAAAAATTGAGATCATTATTATCCTACGAACAGACAACTAAACAAAACAGCATGTAATGTACTAGAGGTTCTGACAAAATTTTAATTGCTGCAGTCTATTTTTTTTTTTTGAATTATTGCAAAATCTGCACCTCTTCTGTGGCAAATTTTAATTTCATAATGATTCTTACTCCGTGAAGTCAAGCAGCAGAAGTTAAATGACAATATGCAAATACTGGCCCATTTTGGGGTGAACTAAATATACAAGACTAGTTTTACACGTCACTGTTTATAACACAGGGTGTTCATCCTTTGCACCACTGAATCAGCTGAATGAAGCAGCATATAAAACTAATGCAATATGAGCCTGTAACATCATTGTCTTAGAGCTCTGAATTATAATTCAGATGTAGACTGTTGAAAGTCCTAGACTATTTTAAATCAGTTGTCCTTTCCTAGATATGTTTTTTTCAAAACCCTTGGTCCTAAGTATTAAACACTGCATAACTCATCCCAGCCCGTTTGAGCTATAGACATGAATGATAGCCTACCTGAAATCGTGTGGCTTGTGTAAGTGATCTGACTTCTGCACATTCTTCAGAAAATGTAAAAATATAGTCAGATTTCCTCATGCTTTGGTTAATAACCGAATTGTTGGTAACATGTTAACACAATGGCCTAAATCAAAAGGTCAGACAAAACCGATGCAAAAAGCATCAATAATTTACATTTTGTCTGGTCTCAGTTTTACAACGCTGTAGGAAGATTAGCACTGCACTTTGGTGGTCTGGAGAGCCAGACATCAATTGTCAATTTGAAGGGCAAATTAAAGAGAAGATATGTGGCAAATAAATCATCATTTGCTATCCATATGTGTGTTGTGAGTCAGCATTCTTTGTGGCAGGTTTCTTCACCTCGATCTATCTATCTTATTTCATATTGATTAAGATCCTGGGACAGAAACTGACAAAGCACAACTGGAAAGATCTTATTAAAAGTGCTGTAAGTGATTCTTTTGAATACCACACATAAAAAAATCCCTACTACCTGATCAGCAAAAAATGTGTCCTGAGAAATCACAACTGTCCCTGTGACTGTGCTCAACTCTGTAAATAATCTGAAAATATTCAGGAAACTAACCATCTGAAAATATTTATTTTAAAATAATACTTTCAATGTATATGCTGAGAGAGAAATTCTAAATTCTAATACCAATAAACTGCTATTTTTATCACAAAGAACAAACCTGGACCTGCCAATAAATAAATATATATTTGTAAGTGCATTTTCTACATATTGTTGCCCAAGCAACAGTTACCTGGTACTAATTTTACAAGAAGGTATTCATTCATTATGTCTCATATTAATCATTTTTCTGCTTCTGTTTTAGTGGCAATATGGAAGCCTGTTTCCTCCATCTTGTCATGTTGACTTGTTATCTCCAAATAATTTTTCAAATCATGATGATGACTCATTTACAATAACACCATAAATTTGTATTCTATCTCAAGGTGCTTCAAGATGTGTGACTTAACCAGAGCCAAAAGTGTCTAAATGGACAACACAAAAGGAATTAAGTGAAGTTTCTGCTTTGTCAGTTAGATCCACCCAGCCATCTGTAAGTCATTGAACTCAAACCCAACGAGACTAATTACCCATGCACCATGTGTACTCATCTTCTACCCACATATATCACTTTCTCACTGAGAGAAAATTGGCTGAATCTCACATACGGTGACAGACAACAAGTTCTATTTCAAGGCCTAAAAAAATGACAGATCTGGAATGAAACTTACTTCAGGCTTGGTGTCCATGCAGTGGAGTCAAAGCTTATGTCATATTTAACACTGTGGAGGAATCTGTTGAAGCATCTGACAAAGTCAGCATATTCTGAAGTACTATAATTACAGTTTCATCCTGTTTTAGTAGGCAGAGTGCAATATTTTGTGTCAATTTAAAGGGGTCATACGATGCGATTTCAAATTTTCCTTTCTCTTTGAAGTGTTACAAGCTCTTGGTGCATAAAGAAGATCTGTAAATTTGCAAAGACTACAGTCTCAAATCTAAAGAGATATTCTTTATAAAAGTTAAGAGTCAGCCACACCTACCTAAAACGGCTCGTTCTTACACGCCCCCACATACCTACTTCACTGTGTGTGAAGATTTGCATAACACCGCCCAAATGTTCACGCAAAGAAAAGAAGGCGTAACTTTTGTTCTCACTGTAGTATTGTTGCTGCCGCCGCCAT